CCTCCGGCCCTTCTGGAGGAGCACGGGCTTCTGGTGAGCGCCCCACCCGCCCCACTCCCCGCGCGCTTCCCAAACCCGGGAGGCCCACCCCGTCCCCAGTTTCTGGAACCCCTTGTCGCATCTGGGAAGACCTCGAGGTCGTTCCCTGCACTCCTATGCACAGCAAGTGCGGGCGCCCAGAGTTCTTCCTCTGGGCTGCCCCCGTCAGGTCAGGGTAGGGCTCTCCTCCCTTGCACCCTGGATCCAGGCCATGTTTGGCGGGGTTTTCCCTGGGTGGGTACCCCAGGGAGGCCTGGGATCAGGCTGTGAGCTTGCAGAGGTACCTTGGGAGACTGTCTTTGAGGTGGACCAGGAGTCTTCCAAAGGGGCAGCCCTGGGGTGTCAGATGTCCCTGCAGTAGGAGCTACCTCTGTCCCTGCGTGTCACCAACCCCTTCCATGGAGAGCTGAGAGTCTCTCCTGTCTAGCAGGGTAAGGGCAGGGTTGGAATATGGTTCTCTGTCTATGGAACTCCCCTTCCCTTTGAAGATGAGACTTCACAAGAGTCCTAGCATTAAGGTCATTTATTATTCACTGAGCAGTGTGCATCTGTTCATCTGCTTGTGCCTGGAGCCTGGTGCCCAAAGCAGCCATGGGTCCTGGGCTTGTAGGAGCCAGATGGGTGTGGCAGCCGCTCTGCTGGCTGGGCCTGAGGCTCAAAACTAACGCAGCTTTGCACTTGCTGTCTCCAGCCCCCCACTGCCACACAGCCGTGCTGACCAGTACGTCCTCAGCTGGGACCAGCAGCTCAACCTTGCCTATGTGGGCGCCGTCCCTCACCGTGGCATTGTACAGGTCCGGACCCACTGGCTCCTGGAGCTCATCACAGCCAGGTGGGTGGCATAGGGCATGGGAGTCCTGTGGCAGCTGACCAGATCTCACCTTGCAGAAATGGTGACTGGGCTGAGAGAAGAGGCTGCTGACTGCATGGCGTGGCAGGACAAGGCAGGACCTGCGTGGGGCAAAGAGCTGAGAGTTGCTTTGAAGACCCATTGCCCTGCATGTTCCATCAAAGCATCCTATTTGAAAGGGAAAAGGGAGGGCACCCTTGCTGGTGGTGTTTGAGGGTACTGGCGGGGCCTTGTGTGCTGGGGACAGCCCCTGGATGGGGCCCAGAGGATTCCCTCAGGTCCCCTTGAAGGCTCAGGGTCAGCGTGGTATTCTGCTTGTCCTAGCTCTGTGTGTCCTCCTCGTGCCGGGCTGTGTTTGCCAGTTGGCCTAGCTCTGCGGGGGGCACTGTGCTCAGGACCAGGCTGAGGTCATGTTGGTCACACCACCTGGACCCTGACGCTGGACCACCTGCCCTGGAGAGGCCACCTTGCAAGGGGGAGGCACTTGGGTGTCAGGGGCCTTCTAGAAACACAGGACCCTCATGTCCTTGGCTAGAGCCATCAGCTGCTCCACGGTGGGGTGGAGGCTGGGCAGGCCGGTCACAGGGTGTCTTTCTGGTACCTTGGAGGCCCGTTGTACGAAAAAGACGGCCACACCAACAGGCAGCCAGGCACAGCCCCTCTGAGTGCAGGCCGAGGGACTGCTGGGTGCCCAGCATCAGGCCCAGCAGCACCAGGGTCATACTTGTCTCTGGAGGTACTTGGTTACTGAGTGTTGGTTTCCTGTGTGTGATCACCGTGCCACCTTCCCCTCCCCACATAGGGATCCCTGGTGTCTCTGGGCAGCCAGGTGCACACCTCATGGCTCCCTAGGAGGGATCTCCCAGGACCTCGTGGACATCAGGAGGTGGAGGCTGGTGGGCAGGCCTGGCTGCTACAGGGAGGAGTCAGCAGCTGCCAGCTCCCCACGGTGGGCTCTGGCGGCCTGCACGGCGCTGTGCACACTAGGGAACAGCAGCTCCTCCTCTGCCAGGTCCCCCGGGCCTTCCCTGAGGAAGCCACCTTTCCTCAGGACGTCCCTCACTGGAGGACTGCAGCAGGCCAGCAGTAGGTTGACACCCAGAGCCCCATAGTTTCGGTGCAGTTCCCGCAGGGTGGCCATGCCGCTCGCATCCAGGAACAGCAGTGGGGCACAGTCAATGACCACCGTGTGGAAGCTGGCGACTGGGGCCACCAGTGCTGCTCTGCCACTCTCTGCACCTGGGTCCTTGCTGTCGCCGGGGCCACCCTCGCTAGCCCCCACCTCTGCACCCTTTTCCTTACTCCTGGTGGCCAAGCACCCCGCATCCAGCCCTGTGAGGCTGTAGAGTGACCTCAGAAAGAAGTCTTTGTTGGCATAGTAGAGGGGCCCCGCAAAACGGAACACGCACACGCCGGGTTCAGGGATGAGGCCTTCAAACTCTGAGGTGTCCTCGTAGAAGGCTGAGTCCCCGACACGGGCAAGCAGTGTGGCATGTGGGCGCTGCATGCGGCCTGCCAGGCTGAGCAGCGAGAGGATCACACCAGCCAACAGCCCGGCCTCAGTGCTGACTAGCACACAGGTGGCCGCGGTGCCCACCCAGACCAGTGCGTCGGCTGGGCTCAGCTGCCAGAGCTGTGGAAGGTCTCGCACCTTGCGCAGGGCCCCCCGCAGGCTGACTACAATGACACAGGCCAGCACGCTCCGCTGTAGGTCCTGGAACAGCGGCGCCAAAGCCAGTAGCACCAG